TAAGAACCTCACTTCTTACCACGAAGCTTATGCTCCCAATACTTCTGTTAGTCGTAAAGGTGCCACAGGACCCTCTGTTGCTAGTAACTGAGATGACACATTGGTATGAGTGGTTGGGTGGAGAGTTGTCTGTGGGGTTTGAAGGAGGGGTGCATGGGTATGGATGGATAGAGACATGTTTCATTGAGCAGAGGAGCCAGTTCATGGGGAGACAAGGTGGGTGAGGTAATATCTTTCATTGGTCCAACTTCTGTTGGTGAGAGAGACAAGCTTTTGAGCCACTCAGAGCTCTTCTTCAGGTCTGGGAAAGGAAAGCTTCTCTCTCTCACCAACAGAAGTTGGTCCAGTAAAAGATATTACCTCACTCACCTGGTCTCTAATATCCTGGGACTGATACATCTACAACTACACTGCATATCTTCAAGAGGAGATCCTTCCACCCATAGTCACTACTACTCCACAGTTTAATTCAAGAGAATTCTGGCTCTTGTAGTTCCCCAGACAGCACATGAGCATTGGGTTGTGTGTTCTGCAGGTCTACAGGATGAAAGGCCAGCCAACACCACAGTTAAGGAGAAAGGCAGACTGGGTTCATCTAAGCTGGTATATACTGGGTTCATCTATGCTGCTCTGGCTGTCCTGGGTCAGTTGACTCAGGATGTGGGACTCAGGCTGCGGCGCTAAAAATTGCAGTGTAGATGTTCAGGCTCGGGTTGGGCCCCTGCTCTGGGACCCTACCCCCAGATATCCACTCAGTAATTTTACAGTCCCACAGCCCGAGCCCCGTAAGCCCAAGACATCTGACCCAGGCCAGCTACAGCTGTTTAATTCCTATGTAAACGTATCTGTCAGAGGGAGAGTGGTGCTGGGCCATAGTAGAGTTAAGGAGGACCCCAGATCTCTTAGGCTAAGGAGAAATATCCAGCATTTGCCACATCTGTGCCCCTCAATCCCTTCAGACACCGCAGTCATGTCCGTCTGCCCTTTCCACAGGTGCCAGGTTGTTTGCAACTCAATATCTCACCACTGCCGGGCACCAGGAGTGTTGACCATAAGTTGCAGTTCTTCTTCGAGTGCTTGCTCATATCCATTCCATTAGGTGTGTGCGCGCCGCGTGC